AATAACCGGAGCCAAGGTCCAAGTCCAGAATCCAAGCACAAAATCCAAGATTCAATCAGATGAGGCATAGGTCCAGAATCAAGGAAACACAAAAGCAGGGAAGTGAATGGTTGTTTCCAATGCCACTTTGCTCTATGCCTTGGATTAAGTAGGCACCAGCTGGTGCAGCTTATTAGGAGGGGTGAGGCTGCCTCTTTGTGAGTAGCCTTGCCGACCTCTGTTGTGCCTCCCTCCGCTTGGCTCTACGCACCCTGGGATCCGTTGAGGGAAGCAATTCCTCCTTGCCTCCACTGACTGACTGCAGCTACGCCCCTTCTCCACTCATGCCTCTGGCTGGTCATCCGACTTCCAGGCAGCAATTGTGTCTCTTCTCTCTCCTCTTCAGCCAAGTCTTTAGCTGCTTGCTCCTCTGTCAGTCTTATCAATATTCTTGGCTTCTCCTCCTCTTGCTCATTCACTCCTGGCATGGAGTCTCTGTGTCCTCCAGATGCTCTTCCGCACCCTACTCTGGAGCCGGCTTTCCCTTATCTTCTGAGCTGGCATCTGGAGAAGCCATTATAGCTGCTCAGAATCATTTGTTGAGATGGGCAGTCATACAAATTGATTGATTGATTGATTGATTGATTGATTGATTGATTGATTGATTGATTGATCGATCGATCGATCGATCGATCGATCGATCGATCGAATGATAGATAGACAGGCTTTCCATCTAAACACTACCAGGCTATAATGCACAAATTTCATAGATCTGAAATAGTCTGAATGATTCACATTTATTCATGTCATTTGCATTATTATATAACTTGTTGCTAATGGGAAAAAGTGGATTTAAGAGACATTTGGCTTTAGCAGATCCCTCTCAGCCCCTTCATCTATTGAACTGAAATTTTAATGTATTATATCTATCAGGCATTGTTACTCATGTATGCCAGTTTTAATTTATGATTTTATTACTAAATACTATTACTAATTACTAGCTTAAAGTTATTACAAATATGAACATTTGAGAGTGTTAACAAATGCTTGTATATAAATGTGTATGGAAGCTTTGCTATGAATGTTAACTTTTAGGATTAAATTAAAACATTTAAATATTAATGTAAATTTTGCAGGATGTAAGGAAATTCTCCAGTGTTGTATCAATACAAAAGCAGCTCAGGAAGATCTGAAAGGATAAATTATGTTCTCATATCCACAAATCAAGTCCTGCTTTATATCAAAACTAGACAGATAGCAATGTTTTCCTGCATCTGTTTTGCCCACATTAGAAGCCAACATCATTCTTTGGATGTGTCCTGAGGCTGAAACCTCTTCATTAAATATAACATATATGTATGTATGTATGTATGTATGTATGTATGTATGTATGTATGTATGTATGTATGTATGTATTTTCCACAATGGCAAGTGGGTATGGCATCCAGCTGTGGATATGGTTATATATTGTGCATGCAACTTCCATGGGATTTTTTTTATATACTAAATGGCAAGTTACATGATTATTGTTTATTTATGAACTATTTTGCATAAATACTTTAAATCTGAATTGAACAATACAGTATGTAGGTTATGCAGAATGTTTTCTGAATAGTTAGATGTCATATCCCAGGAGACAGCTTTGAAAATGCCGATTCATTTTTTCAGTGGATAGAGACTATTTTCACACTTACTACAAAAATAAAATTCTCCTGTATTTTATAAATTAGATTTTTGTTTTTAGAGCTTTTGTTTCAGTTGTACTTGAAGTAGCAGCTTCTGTGAAAGTCTATGAAATAATCCAGAAACTAAATTGTTTATTCATTAAAACCACAAGTTAAGTTGTACAAGAGGTGGTGTAGGTCTTACAGCCTTACCTACTGTTGTTTGATGTTTTTCTATGCAGATTTTTCCCATATGTATCAAATGAAAATACTGTAATAATAATGCTATCACAAACTTATTCTTTTTATGCTGTATGAACTTGGATTTGTGGAAAATGTTAATATCCAGCTATTATTTATATATTTATGTATGTTTGTATTTATTTATTTAAGGTGCAACTGCTATATGAACTAACAGATTTAATGGAGAAAGTTTGGAATAAGATTCATAAGAAGGGAATTTTCCATCAGTCTCTGGCACATACAGAATCTGTTTCAGGACCTGTACCACCTGTTTCACCTGTTAAAAGTAGTATTGGGACTGCTCCACTGGATACCAGTACATGTAGTCCATCAGCTGACATTGGGACAACTACAGAGGTACTGAAATAAGTGATCTGCTAGTACAAGGAATTAAACTTGTAATGAAGAATAAGGCATTCAAATATATGAATGCATGTGTCTTTTTTATTTTTTAACCCAGTTAAACTTGTGAGTTGAGTAGCCCACAGTTGCATTTGTGAGTTGGGTGGCCTAAAGAAAGAACAGCAAATGATCTTGATGCAGGTACACAATTATAACACTTGGGTGATTGTGCAGTTGTCTAGCTGTCGTTAGACATTTGATTATGGGTGGCCATATAAATTTGCTAAATGATCATTATCATTATTTTACAAGATCATGATTGTACAAGTCATCATTTTGTGTCATTGAAGGTTGCTGAGGAGGCTGCAGTACAAACTACTATAGGTGCTAAAACCATTATCATGATCTTGTATTAGAAATGTCAGGAGATTTATCAATTTTATCTTTTTTTGTGGAGATACCTTTCTTGGATTTACCACTTTCCTTCATTATATTCTGATCTACTTGAGAGAGGAAGCAGCATCAAAACATAGCATCTATGATTATGTTTAAGACTTAGTATTTGAACATATTAAAAATCTTTAAAAATGAATATATTTAGAGACTATATGAAGATAAGTGATTAATATGCCTCAAAGGAGATAACATTTTATTGCTTTAAGATAGTTGGGCTCTTTAAGTTGAAAAAATTATTTCTCCGGGTTATAATGTTTTTGTTTTGTTACTGGAATTCCCTATGGTAAAGGAATTCTTGGATATATTTAAATTATTTGTCAAGGAACCACTTTTTTCCTTTACTCTATTTATACATGCCCTACACTTTACATTTAAAATCTTGAATAGCATCAAAAAAATATGCTGTACCCTAAGTACATTTCCTAAACATTTCATACATTTCACAGTTAAAGTATACTACTTCTCCATGAGGTCAAAATGATTATTTTGAAAGTGTCTTTAGCTCTTTCAAGTAAAAGACTTCCTACAAATGAACTGGTGGTGGAAAGGTGAGGAGGTATGGCTCACTCCAAAAATTGTTTATATTAAATAGCATATGAAGTATTTATTTATATTATCCAGCTGTGAATAATTCTTTTCATTTTAATAGATTGATAGGGAGTGCTGCTCCACCATGTAGCCAAAGCTGAGGATGAAAATTTGAGTGAGAGGCTTAAGAACCAAAGTTTAGAAACACTTAATCATTTTTACCTCCTCTGCATTAGAGTAAAGGTAGTACAGTCTACAACCGGCCACTTGTTACTGTTTACTTAAGTACAAACAGTTGAGGAAGTGTTTAGTCCTTGGGGAACAGTAATTTGCTCCAGACTTATATCATCCATGAGCTTTAATGGAGATCAAGGATGAAGGCCTTATATGTTTGGTTTTTCCAGATGAATAAAGATAAATTCTCCTAAGAAAAATATACTTGATATTTTGGTTCATTTTGCAAGAATTGGTAAAGAATGAAATTGTATATTTTAGAGCTTGGCATGAGGAGGGTGGAAAAAATAGTTTACTTTTGATTCTGGCTTTATTTTATGAATTTGAATACAAATAGAAAACTAATGCATAAATTTTATCTATCTCTACATACCAGGCATTAGAAATTCAAAATAAATTGAATTTACTAGGAGGACTCATTTCTTGTAAGAGTTTTTTTCATTCTTATGCAGTATTATACATTTTGAAACATTTTAAGTTTTTGTTAGGCATTTAAATGTGGAATGTTTCCCTAGCCTATTCAAAAGGTATGCAGAGGGTTTATGGATTACCTTTCAAGCATTTGAAAAGCTTTTTTTGGTGCCTATCTTCAGATCCATCCCATTGATATTTATAGTATTGTTTCTAAGAATATAAAGTAAGAACTATGTAGGAATTTGCATTTGTCCAAGATGGCTAACTGCATATTTAGGCAAAATAAAAGACACCTGAAGGGGGATATCATAGTACTCTTCAAATACCTAAAGGGATATTGCAGCTTATTCCCTCTTATTCCTGGACATGGAATCATCATCATCATCATCATCATCATCATCATCATCATCATCATCATCATCATCATCATCATCATCATCATCATTTTACCATTGTCTATTCACTGCAAGATGAAGGCCTCTTCTGATGTTTCCAACCAATACAGTCCTGAGCTTTCTTTTGCTAGTTGGGCCTGCAATGCTTGCTGATGCCGTCGATCCATCTTTTTTTTTTTAGATCTCTTTTGTGGATGCCTTTTATCAAGTGGGATCCATTCTATGGACATATCTGCCAATCTGCATTGGACCAGATTGGCAGATTATGGTCTATTCCAGTGGTTATCAACCTGTGGGTCGGGACCCCATTTGGGGTCGATCGACCATTTCATGGGGGTCGCCAAGCAAGGCTGTCCGCCATTTTTTTTGTCCGCCATTTTTTCCCCCTTTTCCAGTGGATGCCTTACCTCCCTTGGGCTGGGCCAGCTGGTGGTCGGCCTGCTCCGTCTCTGCCGCTTGCCAGCTATGCCTCGGCCGGCGCAGGGGACAGAACCACGCATGTGCGGCGCTCCCGGGCAGGGAAAGTCCTCGACTTACGACCGGTTGGGTAGTCCTCGACTTACGACCGGTTTAGTCCTCGACTTACGACCGGTTTAGTCCTCGACTTACGACCGGTTGGGGTCGCGGCATTAAAAAGGTTGAGAACCACTGGTCTATTCCTTCCACATGCCAATACAACCTCAAAAACAGGACATGGAATAATGGATTGAAATTATGGAAAAGCAAATTCTAATCAAATGTTAAAAAAAAAACTTCTTAACAGTAATAGCAGTTTGACAGTGGAATAAATAACCCAAAGATTGATGGGCTCCTTTTCTCTTGAATGTGTTTAATTTGAGGGTGCTTTAATTTGGTTTTTCCTAGACTAAATGGCCAGTTCCAATGGAGGGTGCTGATCTGTTCTAGCATGCCAGCAAACTTTCATTTGAAGTATTTTTTATTTAACCAATGCATTTTTGACTTCTTAGGAATAATCACAGCTCTAACAAATGAGAAAAACAGATCAAAATCCATTTTCATACATTAGTATCCTATTCTTTATCCAACAAAGAATGTAGAAGCAGCATATTTGAATGCCTGATAACAGAGGTCCCCAACCCCCGGTGTGTGGACCAGTACCGGGCTGCGGTATGCCAGCAACCGGTCTGCACAAACAAGCAAAGCCCCCATCCGCGGGATGCAGGCAACACACAAAACCACACACCCTCCAGTCCGTGGAAAAACCTCTCCATGGAACTGATCCCTGGTGCCCCAAAGGTTGGGGACCTCTGCCTGATAAAACATTTTTTGAAATATTAAATCAGCCTAGTAAATATATATTCAGTGAACGTAAGTGTCCAGTAAAAACCAAGTAGAGTTTATTTACAAGTCAATTTACAGTGGTACCGCAATACTTATCCTTAATTGGTTCCAGGAGCTGTGATGGTTACAAAAAATGATGAGTACCAAACAGATTTTTCCTATAAGGAACAATGTAGTGAGTCACAAGGCAGCCGACACTGATAAGTTGTAGCTTGTGCATTGAGTACCAAACAAACAATGAGTACCGGAACAAAGTTTTCATGTCAAAATCTGTTGAGTAACAAATTTGATGAGTTTCAAAGCAGTTGAGTGCCAGGGTACTACTATATATGCCAAAGGACAATTCTGTCTAAAGATTTCTGCCAGTGGAAAAATAATCGATTAATCAGTATTTCCTTATAGAAGATACCACAGCCCAGAACACAGTCACTGTAGAGATTGTTTTCTGCACATTTCACAATGTAAGCATGCTACCTCTTACAGATCATAAAAGATGATGATGAAATTTTCCTACCATGGAATGAAAAATGAAAAAAAAATCCTTAAATGCATTAAAAATAAATAAATCCAGATATAGAAGTTAAGCAACACTCCCTTTATTGTGAAAATCTGAATTATATTTACAAGGAACAAATCATTTGTTCCCAAGCTGGAGAGAACTGTATGGATGATGATGTATCCATTGACTGAGAAAGGCAGAAGGAGAAAAAAGTTTAGAATTCAAATTTTGGAGCACAGACTTATATACAGTAGAAGGTTTTTTATTTTGTATAACACAGTGTACAAATATTTTTGTGTATGATTTCCTTCTTTAGTCAGTAAAAAAACAATTGTTCTAAGTTACAGCTTTCTGCTGTGTATACCAAGTCCTCAATAAAGTGTTAAGAACCTGGAAGGCTGATGTTTACAGTTAGGATTGATGGGACACCCAACAACATTTTATTTTTACAAGTTTATTTAAGCTGAAGAATTTTCACTTCCATTGTTTTTAATAAAATTTAAAATAAAAGTAGATATGGACATTGAAAGATTATGATAAGCTGTTCATTTTTAGAGAAAGGTGGAGCACTGAAAATTAAAGTGCAATAATGTGCAAGATTATAATGAAAGTGGGCTTTAAAAATAGATTGAAATCACCAAATCGCCATACTGAAATTCAGCTGTGTTTTATAAATAAAATAAACCACATTCCTGCGTACTTAGCTTTTTAATGTACAAGATGTTTAGCATTATTTTCAACCTACTTACCTATTGAAAACCGAACGTTCCTATTATATCCTATTATTTCATAAGTATATTTGACTCCATAGTGAAAACATTAACACTATTCATATGGTAACTGAAGGAAAACGCCACATCTTCTAAAAAAAAAAGAATAGCTGCTCTTTGGAAACATCTGCAAATTATAGTCATGGTAGCAATCATTGTTGTGTTCTTGCCAACCTAAATTCCTCTTATGTTAGTGAAGGAAATTCTCCTGAATTTAAGAACAATTCAAAGATCGTTTGAATTATCAGTTACCAAGAACATTCATCTGTGCTTATACCACATGGATAAATATTGTATTTCATCTATGACAACCTCATAAATACAAAGATATACAGCATTTCCCCTTCCAAACCTTAATGAATTTCCCAGACTTATTTCAAATGTTTTTAAAATTAAATTAAATTTTATTTCTATCTTGGTTGCTGTCATTTGCCTCATCCCTTTTTTATGATATGGCCCTTGGTCAAGTGAAGCCCTAAATTCAAAGGTTGCCTATCTCTGCTTTAGTGGGTCATTATAAAATGTCTTTTCTTTCTTTTTTCCTTCTTTTCTGCACTCTTCCCTTCCTCTTTCCATCCCCTATCTTTCCATCTATTTGTGTTTGTATTTTTTGTATTTTATGCTATAAACAAATTTTTTAAAAAGGAAGTTAAAAAAAATAAAGTGCAGTGTTTATTTCACACCATCTGAGATCTTGGAACTGCTGTGAGATTTATTGTTGCTTTTATTAGAATACAGATTTTAGCCTTTGAAGTTAACTGTGGTACATAGTTAAATGCTTAGTTCCTCAATTATTTTAATATTTTTAACTGCAATCATCCTGGATTTAATGAATGCAGAAAAAGCTGTTGCTTTCTTATTAACAATTAGAACATGATTGATCATCAATGTATTTAGAATATTTCAATTTAGTCATTTTCCCACAGTAATTTTTAAATCATACATTACATTGGTATACGTAGCTTCCAGATGTTAAACACAAACATATTTCTATGAAAGAACATTTTGCATTTAGATTAAGTATCAAAACACTTGAGTACTAGCCATTTTTAAAAATTCAATCCAATCTTCCCATGGCATATATGTTATTTTTGTATTCAATTTGATATCTTTGTTTTTTATTGTTGGATTAGATTTGTTATCATGAAAATCATTTATTTAATTAAATCGGTACAGACCAATGTATTTGTGTGCAGAGAAGGGCACAACTTCTCTGTGCTTCTCATGTGTAGTCTATTGATTACAATTTGGCATATTCAGCTAAGATAGTATATAATGCTCCTGCTTTCAAGTACATAGAAAACAATTATTTTATAAAATGTTGGGAATAGTATATCTATTCAGAGAATTAAAAACTTGAGCTTCACTTCTAATCAGGGGGTTCAATTATGCAAAAAATACATTTTCTCGAAGTTGATTCTCTGTGGATTATGACGGAGAAGGCAACATTATAGAAATAGGGGGCACCATGTAGAATTTAAATGTATATGAAAATACCTGCCATGGTTTTCTATCATTCTAGCTATGAAATCTGTTGCAGTGCTAGATAAGTTAGTAAATCTGTGGACGTCAGAAATGACAGGGTTGGGTTTATGTCTGTTTGTATGTATGTATCAGAGTATATTCAGCAACAGTGTCCTCAGTATGTGTGACATATGTAACTTAGTGTAACTGAAAATGGGTAAGAGTGTTTTATGTCCTAGTTTCTGGTTATCATTGTAAAATGGTACCAGTTTAGAAACAGCACATTTTGTGGGCAGACAGGGGAAGAAATTGTTCATAACAACAAGGTACATCAGGGTCCTTCCTAACTTTACAGACCTGACTTAATAAGCCATATCTTGCAAAGTATTTTATTTACATGTTTTATTTACTATGTCAGAATTTTTTTTCCAGATATACTTTTTTATTACCATGAGTAGGAGCGGTTGATATTTTAAATTATTTATTCTCGCCCTCTCTCTCTCTCAGGGTGAATCTCTGCAAGGCGGTGATGATTCTCCATTCTCGGACTCTGTTACCTTAGAGCAAACAACAAGCAATATTGGCATCTCAAGCGGACGTGTGAGTTTATGGATGCAGTGGATGTTGCCAAAACTTACTGTCAAGTTATTTGCACCAGATCCAGAAAACAAAGGCACAGGTATTACATTTCAGATTAAAAAGCAAAAGCATCATGGAACAGAACTTGTTTTACATATTTGCTCAAAATATGCTTTCCCAATGGAGGCTTAGCATATCTATCCACTTTCCATGTTTGAGAGAAGAAGACAGACCAAAAATTGTTCAATTTCTCTGTTTTGTCACTAGACTTGAATGACATTTCTGGGTGGGTATGAGGACTATAAAATGCATGCTGCGTAAGACCAGAGCCAATGGTTTGCCAGCCTTATGTTAGGTAGTAGGATAGATAGAACAATTGTGCCTTATCAACAGTGAGGCTGTAATTGACTTTCTTCCACCCATCACATCCCAGTCAGCAGAATCTTAAATATGGCTATAGAACAATTGATTATGTGCACTGTGTACTGATTTTAATGGCTTCTTAAGGATTGACCTATCTGTTAAAAGGCATACTGTAGATTATATAATAGCAGTTAGACATTGTATAACTAGATGGATTTATAGTAGTAGGTATATGCATACTGTCATTTAGCAACATGTACTTGTCTGCACATAGCTTTAGTTAGCTCCATGGCTCTGTTTGTGGATCAAAATCCAGCCTCTGTCCCTCTCTTTATGAATATAATATCTGTATATGAGGGCAATTTGGAAATAAACCTCTGTTTGATTATCGTGACAGACACTCATAGATACAGAACTTTTATTATACACAATTGAAAACTACGATATTACATTACTTTTTGGCACCAAATCTGGGCTTTTGGGGAGGGGGTGATCAAAAACATCCCAACAGAACTGCTTCATAATTTCTTGGGTGCGTCTAGTGGTGTGTGGGTGAGCATTAATGTGAACCAAGACCACATCGGAAGTGGTGCTATAGAAAATCCCGCCAAAAGACTACTGCTAGTGAAGTTCATGGAGTGTGGTTTGACCATCAATTCAGAAGTCTACTGTGAAACGTTACAAAAACTCAGACGAGCCATCCATAACAAGCATCAGGGCATGCTGACTTCAGGTGTGTTGGTTCACAATAATGCTCACCCGTACACCGCTAGACGCACCCAAGAACTTTTGAATTAGTTCCATTGGGATGTTTTTGATCACCCCCCCCATAGTCCAGATTTGGTGCTAAGTGACTACTATTAAGGAATTTCAAGCCTTGTAAGATGTTATGATGTGTCTCAATGTGAATGGTGATTATGTCGAAAAGTAATGTAATGTTATAGTTTTCTAATGTGTGTAATAAAAGTTCTGTATCTGCGAGTGTCTATCATTGATAACCAAACGGAGATTTATTTCTGAATTGCTTCGTACTAAGCCCATTGATAGGTAAGGTTAAGAGTAGGGGAAATCGAATTGTATATGAGCTTCCCATATACATTTCTGGGAGAACTATTAGTTGTTTAAGATTTGTCTTAATAATATTGGTTTAAAATTAAGGCAAACTATTTTCTTCATTTCTACAAAATAATCATGTGACTTGTTGGTGAACTCACTAATTTTATTGGATACTACAGAGATATGTGTGGTTGGTGAGTTAGAAGATCTCAGTGCTTCAGTGGATGTACAAGATGTCTACACCAAAGTAAAGTGTAAAATAGAAAGTTTCAACATTGACCACTACAGAAATAGGTAAGAATTTTATGTTCATTTCATATTAGCATTCGTATCGAAACATACTATATTGTTTAAATGGTAATAGTTATTGATCTGAAAGGGTGAGGTTACATATTTGAAATTATATTGCTATGTCATAATTATATGTATTAATATACAGTCTTGGTTGTAATTGGAAGTCCAACTAATTTGTGTCCAAATATGCCTTCTCACTAACATCTTAAATGAAGTTGAGGCTATGGCAAATTTATAACCTCTTAAGCCAAATCTTGCTTGTAAAAACCCAGATGGCAGTTAGTTGGCACCAGAGAGTTAGTATATTCTATCTGGAGTCTGATTGTTTACAGCTCTTAGTCATATGTTAAACCAGGATAAATGCTTATTCTAAAACAGGGGTAGGCAACCTTGGCTCTTTTATGACTCGTGGACTTCAACTCCCAGAATTCCTGAGCCAGCCATGCTGAGGGGAAAGGGAGAGGTTTCCAAGCTGAGCCATGCTGGCTCAGGAATTCTGGGAGTTGAAGTCCACGAGTCATAAAATACCCAAGGTTGCCTATCCCTGGCCTAGAACAAGTCTTATTTTGCCACTGCCAGTTCCTCCTCATTATGGAGTATAGCTAGGAAACAGCTTCTTGTACAGATAGTCCTCACTTACCGACTGCCTCATTTAATGATCATTCAAAGCTACAACAGTGTGGGTGGAAAAAAGGCTTTGCAACAAAATCTTGCACTAACAGCCATTGCAGCATCCCATGGTCATTTGATTGCCGTTTGTGAATTTCACAACCAGCTTCCAACAGGCAGAATTAATGGGAAACACAGAAATGAAATTGCAAGTCACAGTCACATGATGCTCATGTGATATTTCGCTTAGTAACCTCATCTCTTAGTGATGGAATTGCTGGTCCGAATTGTAGTCGCTAAGCAATGACTTTCCTGTACTTCACGTTTAACTTGAAATGTACCTCTCCCTGGAAATTATAGAAGACGCCATGACACATTTTTCTGATAGCATTGGTTACAAAGGTGGTAAGCATTACTATGTTTCCACCTGTCTTAAACTGTGAATCTAACTGTAATTACCCATACATAATAAAAATATGAATCGGTACTCAATAAAAGTAAAAACAAGCATAATGCATATATATAGATAGTCAGCTAAATAAAGTATTTTAACTAAAATAGATAATCAGTGGACAAAACATATATTTGAAAAAATATTGTGGTGAATTATACAAACAGCAGACCAATACTGAGCAAAATTCAGTAGAGTCCAATTGATTTGATAGTAGCAAATGGAGGTAAAGGAAGTCAGAGCAACTGGAGAGCTTGATACTTTCAGTATTGAAGGAATACTGATTCCTGGTCAACATCAGCTTAGGATAAGTATTGTAATCCTCCACTACAGAGGCACTGTCATTGCTCACAGCTTTTATCCATACATTCTGAACTTTGCTACCTATCTGAATTCCTGAACTTTAGTCTGTTTCCCGGTTACTTTTCATGCTTGTTCCTCTGAATAGATTACATTGTCTCTGTTGCATTCAGTCCTGGACTGGAAGTGAATATCATCCTTTGATATACATGATAGTGATTTTCTTGAAATAGAAGTATTGCTGCAAGAAACTCAAATGAATCAGTTTGTCCAAGTAGCTGTTATAAAAGTTATGCGGGGATAATTAAATAGATTGGAGTTGAGTCAGCCTTTGTAACTGAGTTACCTGTGTGAAAATGCCTTTGTGCCTCACTTGCAAAATTTGTCCAAAATGCTGAAAAGTTCCCTAAAATTCCAGCTCACTGCAGTACATATGCAGCTGCAGGATGACTATACACAAGTATATTTTTTCATCAATTCTCTGACAGGCCTTTTGATTAATTGGCAAGTTCATATCTGTTGGAGTAAATCCCACTACTTTGCTGTTTGTAGGAGAGATTTAAGAAAATTAGAAAGTAGAAACATTTAACTGCCTAGTCCAGCAACCTCTGGTCTACTGCATAAAACTTTGCTTGGAATAGGCAGCCTCGCATATCAACATCAAGAATTACTCTCAGATAAGATGTTTGATTTGTTAGAATATATATTGCCTTCTGGCATATGTTTAAGATCACTGGATGACCAGAGGTTTAATACAGTCAACACTGGCATAATCAATATTGAAGCACCATGAAACAGTCCAGTGTACTCAGCTACCATGGCACTTTCACAGCAGAAAGGGCTATACCACAGCTTTCTAAAAAAAAAAAAAAAATAGTATGGACATTTAGTATGAATATCTTTGAAAAAAAAGATGCTTTGCAAATGGGAACAAATTACTCTAGGACCAAAAAGGTAATCAGTTTGAAGTGTTGACTAATCCTGCTCCTAAATATCCCAACGAGACTTTGCCACGATTACATTTCTTCTAGTAGCGTTGTGATTTTTGTGTTTCTCAAACATGGAATTGCCTTGGAAAATTCATTTCTGTCTGGATGCATACATCTGACATTCCTTCTGTTTCTATGGTTATTTACAATAATTGGGCTAAATTCAATTCAATGTAGTATCTAAGATCCCTGTTTTCTGTAGCATTAAGTTCACTGTGAAACATTCTATGAAATAACAATGTTCCTGCAGAAAAACAGAATATTTCTCCAGTAAATATCGAGGGTATTTGCAGCTGTTGGAGCCTAGTGCTGCTGTTGCAACATCAGAAGAACCTGAGTTATGTTGTGGGCAAAATGTCAATTTCTCCAGGATGGTTTTCATGAAGAAGAAACAAACCAGCTGCCTGTACACCATCTGTGACTATACTATTCATTTAGTTCCAGGCTACAGATTCTATCTTATTGACTTTGTACCTTATCTGAACTGAAGTTAGATATGTCACACAATTTTTAGGAAAAAAACCATCTGCACTGGGGGTTCATTTAACTTTCCATATCATCAGGTGTTGATAAACCCTTTCCTTTAGGAGTACATTCGCATGAATTCGAGGACCTTTTTCTGTCCTACATTTATTTTTTATGTCTAGGGTACCTTGTTTTATGTAACACGCAATTAGTAGTCCGTCTTCTTGTAAGACCCAATACGTTTTATGAGGGTGGAAAGGGGTACTAAAGACCACCAGAACCCAATACTGACTCCAATTTCTGTTGTGAGGCATGGCCAATGTGTGGAAGGGCTGAGAATTTCTTGCACGAATCCCTAAATCTGCTCATTTCTGGACCCAGCCAAGCATCTGAGAAAAGTAATTTCAATGGATTTCATTACAGAGCTTCTAAACACAAAAAGACACACTAATATAATAGCATTCGTCAATTTATCACATTTTGTCCTTGGCTATGTATTATTGTGAATTGATTATTCCATTGGCACTAATGAAATCAAACAACTGTTCTTGAATTGTCTTCAGACTTCATGGGTTGCTTGAATATATCCTCATTTCAGTTCACTGTTCTGAAAAAACCATCTCAAGACTTTGGGAATGCAGCTAAACACTTTGACATTCTCAACTTAATTGATAGAGTGTATCAATCCTATCTTAGAACAATATATGTGTATTTAAAAGGTGGATTAGCTTGGTTTGCTACCTTAAATTAGTGCATAATCCACCTCTATGTCTCTACCTTGTTCTGTGCAATTATGAAATGCACCTACTGTATTTTTGTCCAAAATTACATTCTCCATTTTCTAGCATTAGCAGTGGAGCAGCCAATAGAAGATCTGCTGTTAGGGAGCTGAGCAAGTAAATTATTACTCCAAAACATGCCAATGGAAGAAAACAGTGTTGACTTTACTCAACATTTCTGACAAAGATTGACTTTCTCTGAAGCATTTATCAGTGCAAAAATTATTATTTTTGATTTGTCAGCGAATCAAAAATCTCAATCAATCCCAGGGTCTGATGAGAATAAAAAAATCTATGTGTGATCTCTGACTTGAAATACTAGGTCTGAACATTGTTTTTAAGACAGGACTCAGATACCTGATGCTGAAGATACCCATACCCACAAGACAATAGGAGATTACAAAGGCTACCTCAATATTACATGGATAAATTCGATAAGAGTAAAAGTTTACTTAGGAGTTTGCCATTTCTCCTCTGATTATTTTCTCATAAAAGCCAGCAAGATAGGCTGAATAAGAATGGATTTTATATCTCTGCATAAACTCTTTGGGCAGATCCTGGAAACAATATTGTTTCCTTCCCTGTGCTGCAGTTTCGGAACCTTGCCTTTTCTGCTCCCTGAGTTTCCCAAAATTTAGCCTGCTACTTGACTACTCTTTACACTTGTTCCTCAGAATTGCTTCTATTATCTTTCTTTAACAGCTAGCATACCTCCATTCACTTCTTCATACAATATTCTCATTTCTTGGCATTATATATTTTCAGTAGGGTTTTTTTTGTAATTGTCTACCTATTACTGACATACACATTCTATTCTTTAATACAGGAACACACTAGTTAATCCATATTTTCAATGAAGTCATATTTGCTTTTTAGCATTATATATATTTTCCCAAATTGCTTCCTTATACAGTATACGATATGGACATTGTTTTTGGACCTGGAGTAATTGTAGTTGAAATAACTTTAGTTTCCTCCTGCTTTTCTTCCCCCCTCTCTCCAAGCTCTCCCTATGAATTTTTTTTATCCACTATTAGGCTACTATATTTTTCCTCTGAAATTATGCTCCAGGAATGCATACTGAGAGATGTCCCAGACTTTGTGATTGTTTCCATTCTATTAGTCATAGATTTAAGAGATGATTATTTGAGCATCCGCTCTCCTATCATCAATTTGTCTTACCAGTAAGATCCGTAAGAGAGGGATTTCTTCCTCTGTTAAAGGCTCATTTATATAGTTTACTTTCTTCTCAGATGCCTTTTTTTTACATATGTCTACATTGTAGACATTAGACATTTCTTTTACATTTCTCCCAGAATTTTGTAAAGTTTGTAGGATGTTAAATACTGAAAAGAAGCTATGCAAATCTTGATTGGCTTTCTGAAATGTGCTCTATCTGATGTTGCACTTGAAGTCAACCTGGAAACTTCTGCTGGTGGAAGATGTACCTGCCCTTTGCCCATAGGATAACCATGATACTGCTGTGGGAGCTGGAATAGTTGCTGGCTTGTTCCAAATGTAATTCAAGGTGTTGTTCATCACCAATAACTCATTCCATGAATTGAAGTCTCACTAGTTTAGTGACCACCTATCCCAACTAACAACTGCTTGCCTGAAGTGCATGAATAATATTGACTAATGACTCCCTCCTGTCGTGCAGTACAAAAGAAGAGGTACAAAGATGGGCATTTTAAGAATGGCCTGGTCCCACAAACTTCTGGAAATCTATTAATACCTGGCTTCTTTGAAAGTCCTTTAGAATAAGTTGTACCAAATATTGCTGGTTATTGTTTCATTTTTTTTCTCTCCATATTATTCTTTTCTGTAATTTTGACTTATTTTATATATCACCTACAACATTTGAATTGAGGCAGTTTATTTATCCAATGAAACAAACAAACAAATAATGTTGAAATTAACCTTATATAATTGTTTTAATATTAGTGCAGTTATACAGGTAATCCTCAACCATTCATTTAGTGACCGTTCAAAGTTACACCATTGAAAAAAGTGACCTGTGACTGTTTTTCATACTGTTGCAGCATCCCCATGGTCACATGGTCAAAATTCATGTGGCCACTGGCTTCATGTTTATGTCGGTTGCAGTGTTCCAGGTTCATGTGATCACCTTTTGTGACCTTCTGACAAGCAAAGTCAATGGGGAAGCCAGATTCACTTAACAACTGTATTACTAACTTAACAACTGCAGTGATTCACTTAACAACTGTGGCAAGAAAGATTGTAACATGGGGTAAAAGTCACTTAACAACTGTCTTGCTTATCAGTTGTGGGCTCAATTGTGATTGTAAGTTGAGGACTACCTGTATAGGTAGGCCAGCTTGTAAAATTGAATGATAGCTGCATGTACTTTAAAATGTATTTATTTTCATTTTTGTTATGCATTGTTATTTATGATTATGTTGAAGCTTTTTTCCTCCTGATTAATGCCTAGAATTCTTTGTGCATTTTTTTTAGTTATAGAAATTGAATCAACCAATGAATGACTAAATAAAATGTATATGTTTTTATGTAGTTGAAATGTTTGAATTCTGAACAGCTACTTAGAATAGATAAGGTGAACATTATGTTTTCCAGACCAGGAGAAGGCTGGCAATCTGGACAATTTGAAGGGATATTTCTACAATGCAAAGAAAAGCTTGTGGTGAGCTTTTTATGTAGTGGAATAATACATTTAACCAAATAATTACCCTAAAATCTAAATATGACTTTATTTTCATTACAAGAAGAATGATTGCAAGAATTATGATGTATGTCATCTTGAGGTTAATTTGCTCTTGCAATAGGTGGATGGGAAAAATCTGTTGAATTTTGTTTCTTTCCAGGGTCTGTAGCTCTTTTAATCCATCTCCTTCCATTTTAATAAAACTTCTTTTGTTCATAATTGAAAAGCAAATCAAGTGACATTATCCCTGAATAGCTCTGTTCTACTTTGAACCCTGATTTTTGTTGTTGTTGCTGTTCTGCTGAGCTGTTGCTTCCAAATAATGAAACAGTGACATCTTTTTCAATTTCATGATTTCTCTTTTTTAAAAATCATTTGTCTGCAATATTGGAACTGAAGGACTCACAAGGAAAACTCAAACTTCAGAATTTGGCTTAATTTTCTTAATGCCTGTGAGAAAAAGGGGATTCCGAATCACAAACAAAAAGACGAAAAAATAAATATAGTGGAGTTCGAAACCCCTTCTAAGAACCAGAGACCCCTTTACACCTCCACAGAAGGAAAGGACATGACTGTTCGACTTGTCTGCATGTAATGACCAAGCTGGCCAGTCGTTCGTCCTGGGAAAGTCATTGAAGAGACCGAAGAAAGGAAGAGTAAGAAATCAGTGCAATATGTATGTTACAGAACTTCCACTAACAAACAGTATTTCAAAGAGGTGATGGTGAAGGCAAAAAGCTGTTCATCCAAAAACCCATTAGTCAAAGTCGCATTTTTGTTTTTTATGTTTAAAAAATATGTTCTTTTTCCCAGTGGTATTCTGGCTAGTGTTTTCACATGCAAAGTAGGCTGGCTAGAGTAGCAAAGGAAGAATATTTATCTTCACAACTTATGGATTTGAATTTAATTATGTGAAGAATGATGCATGTATTTGGCCATTTAAGAAGCTACAGCTGTACAAGTTAATAGTTACAGGATAAGGTTAAGTGTTTTGCTGCTCCACGACTGTTAGCAAAATTACTGAGTGCCTATTAAAATATTTGAGATACTTTTTTTGCAAACTCATTGCCAAAACCCAAAAGCCACAGTAGGATAATGCTAACTTTTGTTCAAAGTAACTAAAATCTTCCAAGATTGTGAGTGAGAGCAAGCTTTAACATACTTTAGAATTCAAGGCTTAATGGGTTACCAATGGAAGAAAGGGAATGTATGTAGATATAGGAGGAAATGGAAGCCACCCTAGGATAAAATTTTAAAAAAAGGTTTGTTTCATTATCCTAGCTGCTATTTGTATATGCCATCTTTTTTATACCTGGCAAAAATTAATATGTTTAAGACTGCCTTATATATTAATTCCCTTGTTACTTTCCATGGAGAAATCTCAAAAGAATGCATTCTAAGACACACATATATACATCCCACCTTCCACATACAGACTTTTTATATTTTGAGCATGGAAAAAATAACAAATCCGATTACCTGATTTTCTTTATTTTCATCTTCCTAACCACATTATTGAAAATTCATATAATTTCCCAAGGAGTAGTTCTTTAAGTTTATTGCAACAAAGAATAATTTAAAAGTATTTTATGTTATCTTAAAGACTGACCATCTTCTTATAGCTTAAGGTTTCATGGAATACAGCCCACTTCATCTAGTTTGTATATATGTACTCAAGATCTATTTTGATTGTGATGTAACTCCATGAGAATTAATCAAGATATTTATTTTATTGCATATAGAACATTTTTTTCCACTGATGTAGTCATCTGTCTCTGGCAGTTTCTTTAACTGGACAGATTTTGTATGTTCCGTGTCCTATTAAAAAACAGTATCACCAGTACCCATTAAATGGACTTTTTAATCTTATTGTCTCACCTCTGGAACAGGATCCCTCAGAGAATCATTTATCCTGGCCTTGTGAAAACAGTCTTTTAAATATGTTCCCCAGTCCTTGGGCTAAATGAGTGGCAGGATTTTTATGGGGCTATGTATGTTAGATTTGGAAGATTTGTTGCTCTCTTGGATGCCCCTCTTTCTATTTATTTGGTTATTATTTTTAGACTATTTTTATTCTTGTAGCCACCCAGAGAGTTTGTGGACAGCTTTATAAATCTGATAAACAAAATCAGGAAGATACTCTAGATATCTGAGGAAATGAATAGTAATCTACAGAAGATTCTATTAGAGAACATTTGTTTTAATGTGCAGCAGAACACTTCTCAATCAGATAAGCACAGTATAGTCTCAACCCCACATTGCCTTCTTTCTGCTCTGAGAAGAAAGTGAGAAGGTCCAAGGTTTTCACCATGTTGAGATTTTCTCTATGGACAGTAATAAGTGAATGGGCAGTGGTGGCTAATATATCCAATAAAATAAATTTATGCTTTAAAAAGTGTTACTGGAAGTTCTGTTTTTAATTATTATCCATCAGGAATATGCACAATTATTGTTCATGCAAAATTATTGTTTATACCTATTCCAATCATTTTGTTCTAACACGAATTAAGCTAATTTACTAATATTTACCATTTGCCATTGTCACTTTAACCATGAAAAAATATTTGTTCAGATTATGTAAAATGAAATATAATTAAATTTTAAAATAATTTGTTAGTATTAAAAAGAAAATGTTAAATGCAGTATATATACAAAAACTACAATGCATGTAACAGAATTCCTATCTTAACCAGGTTTCAGATATTATTCCCATCATGGTAAGCCTAATAAGAAGGAAGGAAGGAAGGAAGGAAGGAAGGAAGGAAGGAAGGAAGGAAGGAAGGAAGGAAGGAATTCTTCAAATATAGAAGTAGTAAATAACAGGTAGTCCTCACTTAACGATCATAATTGGGACTGGCAACTCCATTATTAAGCAACACAGTTCTTAAGTCAGGCATCCTATGACCACAATGGGCTTATGATCTGCTGTGATTATTAAGCAAATAATCTGCAGTCATTAGGTAATTAATATTAGCATCTTGTGATTTTACTGCTGGCTCCTCCATTGACTTTGTTGGAAACCAGCAATAAAGTGTGCAAGTGGCATTTCCATGATCATGGAACCCTGTGATGATCTCAATCATGTGACCATGTGGATGTTATGACAGTTGTAAAAGTGAGAACTGTTTGTAGAGTTAATTTTTCAACACCATTGTAACTTTGAATGGTTGCTTAATAGGAGAGTCATTAAGTGAGGACTACCTGTATAAGCCATAGTTTTGAAACACATTGAAATGCGGCTACATACAAACACAACATGCATCTGGATTGGTCTCATTTGGATGTGATGCAAAATTATGGCTTAGCATCCTTTACGTGCATAGAGTATGCAGATGGATGGAGTCTGAAGCATCCATTCTTGATTTTCAGTTAATTGATAAAACAAAAACTGTTCACAATGAACAAACATAAGAATTGTACTATTATTTATTTATTTATTTATTTATTTATTTATTTATTTATTATTTATTAAATTTTTGTGCCACCCATCTCCCCCACTAGGTGACTCTGGGTGGCTATAATTTCAAATCCTGATTTGAAAACAATAAATGATTACAATGAATCCTTGTTTCCTAATTGTTGATTAAGCTGAAGTTGCGGTTTAATCAAAGTTAACAATGAAAAAATATTTGCTGTCTTTGTACGCAAATGCAAAGAAAATAAAGAAGCGATCAGGAGCCTGAAGTTTGCTTTGGCTCATCATCTGCTTCTCTGAACCAATCAGCTAGCATACTTTATATCTGAAGATAAATCTTGTTTCTCAGCCTTGGCAACTTTAAGATGTGTCAGCTCCCAAAATTCTGGGATTTTACGTTTGCATGTCTTAAAAGTTGTCAGGGTTGAGTTAAAAGCATTTTAAAACACCTCTATGGATGAACAAATTTTGGTTAGGTCTGCCAAGAGAAAGGGCATCTATTATTTCCCATAAATTCCCAGAAATACATTCTGCTGCCAAAAAAGTGGAGAACTTGAAATAGAAAATAAAATATTAAATCAGAAACAGTTTTATAAATATTATGTATTTCTGTTTCTCGGCATAGGCAACTGCAAAACTTTTGGATGGTTCTCATCAACAGCATGGATTTCTCTCTTTGACTTACACAAAAGCAGTCACAAAAAATGTCCGTCACAAATTGATCTCAAGAAATGAACGAAGAACCTTGCAGAAATTATCTGAAAGTTTTACAGATAGTTCTCCTCATTTTCTTCATGAGATTCTTCTTTCGGCTCAGGCATTTGATGTTGTTTTTTGCTTTCCTTTCCTCAATGCAATTGCAAGTATTTTTCAAATGAATCTTCGAAAGAGTCAAAAAGAGAAAAGAAAATCGCCAGGCCAGCCTATGAGGTCCCATATTCTCACATCTCGCAACCTGCCACTTATTTATATCAATACTGGGGTAATCAGAATTTTCTTCCCCAAAATGGAGGGAGGACCATGTAACATAGAAGGTATTTTTAAAATTTGTATATTTATTTTTATAAATATACTCTTTATAATATATTTTTATAAATACATACTTTGCCCACTCCATCATTAGCTCTGGGCAGCCTATAATAAATAATTGCTGCATCTTGTTTTCTCAAATAATTTATTGCATCATGTCTTTAATGCAGTTTTTCTTTAATTATTTTAGTGCATTTCAGTAATAAAAGAGACAAACCATTTCACTGATTTATAGCACAATATCTTTTTCCTGAAAATAACATTTTTTTCTTTTAAAAAAAGTAGTATGGCTGTCTGTGAAATAAATATTTGATAGATTTGTTTGACCCATGTCATGACTTTTGCATTAATGTGTGTGTCCATATAGTTAATTATGGCCTCTAGTTGTTTGATTCATTGTGGGTGCATTCCTGTGGTATACTTAAGTCAGTTTACTTATATATATATACACACACACATAGGCAAATTTACTTGATTCTTCTGAACTGCATGTGAAGTTTGCTTGTTCTTTCCACATCAAGCAATATGTTATTTAGTAAAATACTTAGCACTTACCACACTTAACATTTGTAGCTAAAAGTTTAACTTTCAAACTTTCAAAACAAGTCTGGGATAACTCACTGGGTGGCCACAGATGGAGAAATTGAAAGCTTACATACATCCTCAAAACATAGACTCATAGAGAACACTGGGCTTGCCTTTATGTATATATCAGATGTCAATATCAGCTTCTAAAATATAATAAAATCCTTCACAGGCTAAAAGTTACAAAATATAGGGTGTAGATTGATTGCTGTACTAAAACATGTAGCCAGTTCTTTATATATTAGACTGATGCAGCATTTCTCCCAATTTAATGCAGTGCAGCGTGTACAAGCCTTAGATTGCAAACAGCTATACTGAATTATAATATGTGGTTACAAAACCCAGTGGTTGGATTGAGATTTTGATTTAAGCCAAAACCAATCAGAGCACATTATGGCTTAGCACAATGCATGAACGTGGCTGTAAAAACTGGCTTTCCATGCGAATTAGTATCAATAAATAATGCATTATTTTGTTAGTAATGATTTCACAAGTAAACTTCCTTTGTTCAGAAGTGATCTTAAATAATATTTATCCACTTCAAGTTCTTTTGTTAATGACTGACTTTTATAACGTGTGGTGATTGTCTTCCATTTTTATTGCAGATAAGACAAACAAGGAAGATACTTTGGTACTTAAAGTTGGTTCTGTATCAATGGCTCCTCAGGCTGACAATCCTCTTAGTAGAGTTGTGTTGAGGAAAGATATTTATCAGTAAGTATTTAAAGTTAACTCGTATAGCTCAGAATGTACAAGGCATATCACAAAAGTGGTATAATATCAGTGCACTTTGATTCTTGTGTAGAGGGTCTATTTGTAGATAGTAAATTGAAATAATAAAGGGCTTGTATGGGATGCTTGGAGGGGCAAATCATTGTGTTTCTTGTCTCCACCTGAAAAGTTCATAGATATTCAATCGTCTGACATAGAAGTGATCAGAAAAAGATACGTATTAATCAGCTTAGTCCGGTTCATATCACTGTTGTTACTCCATTCCTCCAGGGTTATTTTTGAAACGTAGCTAAAATTAGAAGAAAAACTATGGAATAATTTGCATTTCTTGCAGTTTTATCTCCCTTTTCCCAATGTACGAAGCTTGCCATAGAGCCAAAGTGGAATCATCTTGGTTCTGAATATTTTAACAGCCAGAGGAACAAAGTTGCTACCTTTATGACTTACAGCTCCAATTATCTTATTATCTTATATGCATGAGACTATGGATATTTTAATTTCAGGGAGAGGAAAAGTAGAAGGTGATAATATTTAAAAGTCCTTAGTTTGCTTTATTGGAATGTGTTACTTATTTTTGTTGTCACTCGGAGCATCTTTTTGTAAATTTTGGCACAGTTAATCAGTTTTTTTTTTAAGTGACAGGATTTAGCTGGTACTTATAGGCTTTTTTGGAAACCTTACTGGGAGAAGTAAAGAACAGCAGGGTTATTGGCATATATTGGCACATGGATGCCTGTGTGTGAGAATATTGGGGAACTAAACAATGTACTTGTTAAAGTCTGTAATGAAATTTTCCATATTCATTGTTCATTATTCATTTTCTGAAGTCCAACACTTCAGAAAATTACAAAATTGGGACTTTTGTACATTGGGAAAGAAACCAGGCTTTTGCGATCTGAGAACACAAGTGAAAAAGCAGGCTAGTCAATGACCAAAATAAAGTACTTTGAGCTTTGAAGAAGCTTTCCCTCATCCTCAGAAAATTATTCACTTATACAAAGGATATTTTTGCAAATACTATCTGTTTCAGTAGCTGAATAGTGTGAAAGTGATTTTCATATTGTTAAATGGTTTGCAGACTTGCAAAATGCTGGACCATTGATGTCATGTGGATCAAAGCTGTGAAAGAAAGCAAAGTTCTAAGGCAAAGTTTCACAGTAAACACATTTTTTGTGTGAATATCTTGCTCTGGATTGTGTCACTGCCTTTGTGAAAACCACACTAATCATAAGTAAGCAGAAAAACTGGAGAACATATGTAATCAACCTGATAAAAATAATATATGATCTTTACTAGGTTTGGCATTGCTGGAAAACATGAAAGTATAGTTGCAAATAATACCAAGTGAGAAAAGTCACAGAAATACAGATGAACAAGTGTCTTATGCTTCCTGTTGGTCTGTTTCTCAGATGTGGTGTATGTTTTTGTATGTGCATGTGTTTGAAAAGTACACTTCAATAGAAGTAAGTCAGAACCTTCAAAATCTTTACCCAACACTAAAACATTTTACAGCTTTAAAAATGACAGGTATTACTTTTGCTCAGACATTCTAAAGGCTTAAGTTGTACAGATTCTTTATAACGTTTGATCTTTTATCTGAGAAGCTATAAATATTTGGTTTTTAATTGGCTTTTACAGGGGAAATGTTTTGTATTGTTTTTAATATGCTGTGAGCCGCCCTGAGTCCCATGGGGAGAAGGGCGGCATATAAGTTAAATAAATAATAATAATAATAATAATGGGGGACTTTCCCAAAATGTATGCTAAGATAGGTTGGTCAATTAGTCTCATACTCACATATCGTCTGTTGTTGAATTGGGTCAATCAGAGTCTCATTTAAATCAAGAATATTTTTCTCAAACAAGTAAACATATTGGAAAAGCACTGTAGTCTTCTCAAATAGATAAACTAGAATGATAATACAGAATGGGTCCCTGATAATGTTAAATTCTTTAATAAATAGAAAGAAGTACCTGTAGAGCTTCATGTTAACTAATGATTTAAACTTGAGAAAGTTATACTAGAGCTTAAGAAAAAATGTTGCCAGAAAAAAAAAGAATTGTGTTTCAATTTGCAGAAGTTTTCAAAACAAATTTTCATGTCTCTGTATTGACTGAGATTCTTATGGAGATTATTAGTTTGCTATGCCAAGTTTGTTGAAAGGGTGGAAGAGTACATTGCTTACATGGATGCCAGTTGTAAGTTTTAGACTTGCAGTATATTTATAATATCAATAAGCAGGAATTGCTGTGCCATTTGGGCCAACAGCAGTTTTCACATGTTTTTAAATAATTATCTATTGTAAACATAAAGTAAATTTAATTCTGTTCTTGATTCATACACTTTGTTTGATATTATAATCAACTAACGTATGCTAATGTTTTGGTCAGAAATAATATATTTTTTCCCCACTGGATTACCCTTAATTTAGTCTCTAAACACATCCTTGAGTGTGAAAGTCTCCCTAAGGAAGCACTGCAGAATTGGAATATGTTAAAGGGAAATCAGTTTGTCTCACTTTATCCGTACCTTATTTTTCAAAGACAGAATGAGTTGGGCAAAAGTCTCCAAGGAAGATTGGTTTGTTTGTTTGTTTGTTTGTTTGTTTATCAAACTTCTATGGCCACCTATCTCACAAGAAGTGATTCTGGGTGGCGTACAGCAAAATATATAAAAAACAATAGACATGTCAAAAGGAGTCAAATTAAAAAGTTAAAAAAAGCATAAAACACAGAAGAGATTATATCAGCAAGGGAGCCAATTCAAGATTTCACCAGTCCCCTGAGAGCCCCCAGGCCAGATGTTCTTACTTAAATTAATATGAGAGAAAAGAAACTTTCAGCTACATAGAGCCATAAACCTTGATGATACTATAGTACAAAACCTTGAATTGGGTTAAAAATAGTTTGGGAGTCAGTTTCATTATTTCAGATTAATTAAGTTAACATGTACCCTGCCAATAATCTAAATGCTGTCTTTGAAACTGAATGAAGTTTCTTAACAACCTTTTAACAATAGACTAATGCAAAATACAACAAGAATAATCTTTTGCCTTGCCCTGCTTTGATGTCATATTGAGAGAATGTGGCTGTGATGCCTAATATGATGTGTATATGTGTGTTGAAAGGAGGCAGAATTATATCCCTTAACCTTACATTATGTCACTTGTTACATTAGATTACTGGAAATTTGTTAGACGAGGAACTGGGATCAAATTCACATCGTAAATACAACTAATTGAACAAGACAAAAATATATGTCATTAGAATATTGCCTTATTGAAATAACTGAACAGTTTTGTATCCAGATCAAAATGTGTTTTGCCTGCAGTATCATACTGGTAGATTGGAGAACACAATAGAAAAATTGACAGTACATATCCATTAGTGAGGTTTAAGTAAGTTCAAGCAAGAAACATTGCCTTACATACAATAAGTCACAAAGCAAGACATTTGAAATTTTAGGACTTAAATAAAAACTAACAATTGCTAATATTTGATATAAAGTTAATATATATAAACTATGGCTGTGGCTGAAGATACAAATGGAAGGGAAGGAAAGGATGTAATCCATTTTTCTCTGTTTTCACTATGATTTTCTTTTCTTTTTTAATTTAATGGTCTCTTTTTTTTTGGCATTAACTCCCCTCCCTTTTATCTGCTTTCTTTGCATCCCAATATTTGCTTTTTAAATATTTATTGTATTTCAATATAAATATAAAAATACATTTAAGAATTATATACATCAGTAAATATATAACCGAACTAAAGAAGTTATCTCTCTTGGGGACAGATTGTGTAGATTCAGTTGAAAACAGTACGGAATATTGCTGTGATACACAAAGAAAAAAAAAACGTGCTCTCAAAAAAGAGGCTCTTTCTGAATTTGAGGTTTTTTTTTGCATAAAACAACATAGTACATTTAGTTACTTAAACTAATTAATTAAATACTGAAACTTTTAACCTAATCCTGTGCTTATAAAATATGTGTTTATCTACTTTATGCTTTCTTTTTCTTTTCTTTTTGTTGAGTGACCTGCCTTTTTTGTGCTCTCTATTATGATTTCTGGTATTTTGTCTATACACCCAGTGTGGAAGTATAGCATACATTTCTTTGACTGTCTTTTATAATGAAATCTGTTCCCATGTATTTCAGAACTTTGGTATCCAATTTATCCCATGGTGGCATAACTTTACATTTGGTCCTTTAGATTAGATTCTTTACATTTAGTTGACTTTCCACTAAATGGTACTTAAATTTCCTGCTAATTTTAAAAATACTTTTTTAAACATTTCATTTCAAGGATACCTTGCTGACATGTATATGTTTAAAAACAATATTTAAAAATAATAGCTATAGTAGATACTATTACTAGAAAAAGAACACCTTCAGAAAAGTTAGTTTCCCTTTTTTTACTCTGCATCTTATGACTAAATTGCAAATTATGCAATATATTGGTTCAATAAAAATTTAAAACTATTTCACTGTAATATTTAAAAGAGATTTTATTTCTTTTAGTTATGATAGACTTTTAACTTAATATATTGTGAAGGTGTACAGCTTGTAATTCATTTCAACAATACTTGTGGGCTCTCTGATTACTAAGTTTTATCTATTCCAATTTTTTTACTACAGCTCTTGAAATGCACTGGAAGAATGATCTTTCCTTCCTTCCTACCTACCTTCCTTCCTTCCTTCCTTCCTTCCTTCCTTCCTTCCTTCCTTCCTTCCTTCCCCATTTTCTCTAAAATCTTTGCACATTTTAGGATATCTTTCTCTTCACTATTCTTACCTTATTTCAAGTAGCTTATTAATTAATGTAATATCCTATTATTGATTCCATCAAACTGAAAATCTTCCTCTTTATTCAACTTTATTCATGAATTAGTTATTAGTATCTACATAAGATATATATTTTCATTGCAAATTTTACACAGAATAAATATATTTTAATCCATTGATCCATGTAATTGTACCCCAAT